GCCTGTCCAGACTCGACCCGTGAGCAACAGTTAGTGAGGACGCACTGTGAACGCAGGACTGTCACAGCCCCGCCAAGGGACTGGAGCGAGGACTGGGACCCAGGGTCTTCCAAAAGGGCGTGTCTGCCTCCTGTCCTCTTCTAACCGCTGGTCTAGGAATCTCAGCTCAGATGTTTAACAACGTCACGGGGGATGCTTCCCCAAAATGCAGATCCCGCCCAGGGAGCCTGTCTCCATGGCCTGGGGTGGAACTGGAAATCCGCATTTTCGACCGAGACCCCGGGCACTCTGATGCAGGGGGCCGGTGAGCCCTGTTTGGGGAATCAGTGCTGAGCACCCGCTTCTTAAACTTGACTGTGTGTCTGAGTCTCCTGGGGATCTTGTTACAGTGCAGATTCTGATTCAGCAAGTCGAGGGGAGGAGCCAGAATCCTGCCTTTCTTGAGCAAGCGCCCAGGTGATGCTGGTCCTGGAAGGGGTTCGAGGAGCCAGGTTCTCGGGGGTTACCAGGGAACTGGCCACAAAAGTGGACTCCACGCAGACCGACCGAATCTGAAACTCCGGGTGTGGGGCCCAGCCGTGGGGTTTCAGGAAAACCTCAGGTGGTTCAGAAGTTTGAGAACCACTGCTAAGTGATGGGGCTGCAGAAAGAAGTGGGCTGGGAGGCTCAGGGCTGCAGAGGGTTCATTCCACCAGCTCTTCCCGGCTTCCTTCTCCTCCGCAAACAAAGCCGAGGGCCCTGTGAACTTGGGTGAAAGGGCCCGTCTTCCTCTTGGAGCTGTGTGTGGGCAGTTTTCTTCCCCATCAAAGAGGGAGGATTTCCTGGTTGGCCAGTGGCCCCCCCACATGGCCCTGTTGGTGACGAGACCCCAGGAAACAAGAGTGAGACCAGGGGCACCAGAGCCAGTCGGCTGGCAGCTGGTCCCCAGGGAGCGGCCAGGACAGGAAGGACCGGGCAGCGCGGGGGGCTGTGGGCGGCAGAGCGGCCCACCGTGGCAGGGCGTGTCTGGAGCACGTGGGCTGGTGCGCAACCAAGTCCCGACAGACGCCTCTGGGTTGAGCAGTGACCGGGCTGTTCACATGCTAGGTGGTCAGGAGCAGTGGCAGTGGGCGTGGCCTTGCCCCCACATCCTCCCCCGGGCCTTGTCCTCTCTGCGCTGCTGCGTCCCCGTACAGAGGTAGAAGTTAAGTCCGTGTGGGTGACAAGAAAGACGCAGAAACTTCCCAGTGTGGATTCTCCCCAGGCTGGGAGGGTGGGGAGAAACCCGAGGGCCCCATGGAGTTGGGACGTGGGAGGCCTGGAGTGGAAGCCCCCCTGGGCTTGGACACCACACTCCGTGGCCCCTTCCCCACCCCCGTGTCCCCCGTAACCCCCAGGCTTTCCCAGGCCAGAAGGAGCATTCTTTGGTCATCAGGCCCCGGGTCACTGAGGCGGGAGTCCCTCCCCTTGCCCTCACCCTCTTGTGTTCCTGCATTCCTGGTGTGCAGGCACAGGCCCGTGGGACAATCCATCTGTGACAGGTTCCCCTGGAGGCCTGGTCCAGTCCCCGGGGGCCAGCCAGGTGGGTCTGATCCCGACAAGGTCACAGCCATGCTTGGCCCAGGCATTTAGGGGAGCGGCCGGCAGCGAGGAGCTGAGAGCCGCCTCCGCAGTCCGTGGTGTGCACACAGCCAGCCGGTGGCAGAGTAACATTATGGGGACCTTTTCCGTTTCAATTCTAGACCAGGTGATGCTGTGCTGCGTCGCTTATGTGCCGGGGTCATCGCCCAGCCCTTGAAAATATCTGATGCTCGCTGGTGCAGAGTCCAGGAGGCCTGATGGTTTTGCCCACCGGCACCCTCAAATGGGCAGCGTTCAAGAGAGTAAGAAGTGGTTGCGGAATGTCCAGATGGACACATCTGCCAGCAAATGGCAGCTGAGGATGAGAGTCTGGACAGGAAGCCAGGACAGGGGTTCCTCGCCCTAGGCCACACGCGTCCTCCCAAAAGAGGTGGAGGCAGCCGGGCAGTGGGGGAAATCTTCGGGCTTGGCTAGTGTGCCCTGGGGGTCTTACCTGCCATCTGACCTCTGTCGCCCATCAGAGTGGGGCGGGTTGGGGGGGAGGGCGCGTTGTCCTCGTGATCAGGACAAGTCCCACCCCTCAGCTTGTGGCGGTGACACCCTCAGTCTCCAGCACTGGAGTGAGAGGGCTGGTCCTCGTAGGAGGGGAGCAAGGCTTAACACTTACCCAGCCCTTGGCCCTTGTCAGGGCCGACTTCAATGTCAGTGAAGATGGATAAGCAGCCCTTGCTGTGCACCCACTGGGCGGTGACCGCCATCGCTGTCTGCTTTGGCCCTCATGGCTTCCCCTCCTGCAGTGCTGACCTCTGGCTCCCTCACTGGGTCAGGTTTTACTCGCCGTTTCAAACGTCCCCCAATTCCGCTTGATCGGAGAACCTTCCACGAGCCCCTGGTTGGGAAGAATTGTGGTGTTTTCAGCAATCTCGCAACACCTATACCGAGACCACCGACTGAACATCTAAAATGCTCTCAAGCAGAGCATGAAAAGGCACGGGATTCGGCAGGCTTCGGCCTGAGTGGAACAGCTCCTGCTCGTTGTATGAAAGCAGGAGGCCGGTGCCACTCGGCAGCGCCTCTCACCAAACAAACCGGGGTTTTCCAGGCCTGGGGGGGCAACTCTGGGCCGCGCGGCACGGTCAGCGCTGCACTCAGTGCTCCTGAGGTTCGCCTGGTGGATTCTGGGGTGGTCCTTCTGTGACAGATAGGTCCCAGGTTGGGAGGGGCCCTCTAGCCCAGCTGTCCCCACCAGTGGATAAGCACTGTCCCTGCCTGGTGGTCATTCAGCCCTGTGGATAAGCACTATCCCTGCCTGGTGGTCATTCAGCCCTGTGGATAAGCACTGTCCTGGTGGTCATTCAGCCCTGTGGATAAGCACTGTCCCGGTGGTCATTCAGCCCTGCCAGAGCACGCCCAGTGCTTGTGGGAGGAAGGTCGGAATGTGGGTGGTCAGGGGCATAAAGGGTGAGGAACACCAGTGACTTTCTCCCATTGATTACTCATCGCGTGTCTGACAAGAGAGGTGGAATCAGGCCGGGGTAAGAAATAGCTCTCCAATCCCAGCAGCTTAAAATAGCCCAAGTGTCTTGCTCACTGACGCTCCACGTCCATCAGCAGTCACTCTGGGGCCTCTCGCCTCCACTTGTGGTTTCAGGATGATGGCACCCAGCAGGAAGCAGCAACGCTTTCTGCACTGTCAGAGGGGAGGAGGAGAGAGGTGCCAGGGGGCTTCGCATTGCTGGGAGCTGCTCCAGCCTGCTCCGCACACCAGTTCTGCACCCAGCCCTTCAACCCTACCCCCGCAAGGATGGGGAGCCTAGAAAGGGGGTCTCACCGCACTCCCAAAGGCAGAGTGCAAGGGCAGCAAAAACTGGTGTGTACGTGAGAAGGGCCCCATTGCTCCCCGAAGTCTCCCCGGGTGAATAGAAGGAGCTGCTCCTGCTTGTGAGGATCCTGTTCAGTGACCATGAGAGGAGATTGGGAGAAGCCGCCCAGAGATCAGGACGGATCCTTCAGCCTGCTCCACCCCCACCCAAACAGCTGGCCTGCAGGAAGCGGTCTTCCCGAGCACGGTGACAGTGACAAATCCACCTGTTCCAGAGGTTGCAGCTTCTGCTATAAATCAAGCCCCGGGGAGGGAGGCGCAGTGGTGATTAACAGGGGGACCTGAAATCCAGGCTGTAAGCGGCCAGAGATTCGTCACCGCAGTTGGAGACAGGAGGGTACCTTCACGGATGACTCGGGCCTAGGGTGGCCGTCTATAACCCTGCTAATCTTCACCCCCCGAGTGTCCGAAACCGATGACTTAAAAAAAAAGGAGAGATGTGCACAGCAGAGGTCACAGCCCCCGCCCGTGGAGCGGGCCCACGCATTTTGCTGAGAGCGGGTAGGAGGGCAATGACCCGCGGTGGGTCGGGTGCGGGCAGCCCCCCCGGGAGGGGGCGGGAAAGCATGTTGTGCTGCCCAGTTGCAGGGCGGGGTGGGGAAGGTGAGCAGAGCTCCCATTCGAAAGTGGCATTGGCATGGGCCTCAAAGGATGGTTAGAACGATTTTGCTAGAAGCCCAAAGCCTTCATGATGGTCTGAGTGATACATACATGCTGTCACACAACACACACACACTCTTATGTGACCAGCATGACGGTGCATCTGTCTCTCCATCTTGGAGTGTCTTGTCTACTCGTCTGGAGACCGTATTTCTCCTCGGCAGTCACTTTGATTTCTCTTACAATTCTGATGTCAGTTCGGATGTAGCAACCCTTGGGAGAGGGGTCACGAACATTTTCAGCTCTTTTTACCCAAGTTACCGCTGTGTGCATGGATTGGGGGTGGGGAACGTAGCCATCCGTGGGCCCACTTCGTGACCCCTCTGGGGCCGGGCCCTGCCCTCCCTCCAGCGGCGGAACTTCCCCTCTGCTGTCATCACGGCGTGTTCTTTCCCCGGGGTCCTCTCCATCCAGCCTCCGTCAAGCAAAATGCTCCTGCTCCGTTTTTCCCAACCCTCCCATGTTGGAAGTAGAGGCATGTATTACCTTTCGGTTTGTGAGTTTCTGTGGGAAGATGCACAGGGCCCAGGAAGACAGGAGTGGGACAGTCACGGAATCACCAGAAACCCACAAGTTTCACTCAGGCCAGACCTCACAGGGACTGCACGGCTTCTTCTGGTCCTCCCAGGGGCCACCCTTGGGGGCCCCCAGAGACACGGTCCCTGACCTGGGATGTGGGGAGCTGAGGGCCTCCATCCATTCAGGTCGGGTATAAAGCAGCTCTAGTACCAGAGAGAGGACAGCTTCCCAGAGCCACATCCCAGCTGAGGGGCAGCGACCCTGCTGCCTCGGGGAGGGGCGGGCCGTGTCACCAGCAGGCGGAGGGGGTGTCGGTTGGGGCAGGTGTCCGCTGCCTGCCCCTCTCTAACCGGGTCCTGACTGTCCGCCCCCTCTCCAGCTGGTGCTGCCGGAGTACTCCATCCACACCCTCTTCTGCGTCATGTTCCTGTGCGCCCAGGAATGGCTCACCCTGGGGCTCAACGTGCCCCTGCTCTTCTACCACTTCTGGAGGTGAGTCTGCCTGGGGCCCGTCTCTCCCGCCCCTTCCCGCATGGGCAGCCTGTCCTCCAGAGACGACTTCCCCAAACAGACCAGCCCCCCTCGCCTCTTCCTTTGGGAGAACCTCCCTCCAGGGCCTTCTTCCCAGCAGCTCTCGGGCAGCCACTCCCACAAGGGGCGGCCCCTGTATAGGCTCCGCCCTGCAGGTCAGCACAGTTCACAATGGCCCCAAGTAGAAACACCCCAAGTGTGTGCCAGCAGGGGAATGGACAAACAGAACGTGTATATCCTTATAAAGGAACACCATTTGGCCACAAAAATCGGAGCAGTGCTGGTACCCACTGGGACAGGAACGAACCTGGGGAAAATTCAAGTGAGCGAAGCCACTCACAGAAGGCCATTTGTATGGAGTGTAGTACAAAACACATACATCTACGGACACAGACAGAAGGTGGTGGCTGCCTGGGGCTGGAAGGGGGGCTGGGGGGGGGCTGCTCATAACAGGGACAGGTTTTGTTTTCAGGGTGAGGAAAATGTCCTGAAATTCAGTACTGGTGATAGTCACACAACTCTGAATGTGCTAACAACCACTGCATTGTGCCATTTAAGAAAGAATTTTTTGGTATGTGAACTGTACTTTAACCAGACAAACAAACAAAAAAATGCAACACCTCCCAGATGGGCTGGGCTTTCTGGGTCAGCTCTGGTGTTCGGGATCCTGTTCCCTGCAGAGACCTGAGGGTCACATGCTTTGGGCTTCATGGAAAATACGGTCACCACAGGGACGTAGGGGGCCAGAGGGGGGGGGGTGCAGAAGTAGTAAAGAACACACCTGTGTGGATAAATTAACGGCCCTTCACCCCTTGCTCCCAGAACTGTGATCCCCCAAACATCTCATCCTTGTCATTCACCACAAAATTAGTCTGTATTTAGTCATGTCCTGAGTATTCCTTCGTTTGGGAGACGTAGGGGACACATACCACGGGCCAGACATCGTGGGGCAGTCCAAGATGAATGTAAGACGGAACCTCTACCCTCAAGGGATACAACCGTAGCAGCAGAGGGGAATATGATGTCCTTAACAGGTATACAAGGAATGCATGCGGGAGTTTAGAGCAATGAACTTCCAAATTAGACTGGGAGGGCACTGCCACAGGTTCTGGACAAGCACATTCCAGGCGGAGGGACCCGCCTCTGCAAAGGCACAGAGGTCAGAGAGCGCTCGGTGCGTCCGGGAAAGAGTGGCTGCTCAGGGTGTGGGGACCTTCCTTCCTTGCTGGAGGGGGGTGAGCAGAGACTGGCTGACAGCGGGGGTCAGGTGTGGAGGTCTGAAACCATCGGAGGGGGAAGTTGGAATTCACTTATTCTGTGGGGAGTGGACGGCCCTCGGGAGCTTTTGAGGAGGGAGGTGGCCCTCCTCCACCTGGCTGCTGTGTGAAGGGGAGGCTGGAAGATGAAGGTTTGAGGACAAAATCCAGGTGAACAGCCCCTGCAGACTCGAACCGGGCAGGGGAAGTAGGCGTGGAGAGAGGAGAGGATTCGTGGAGGTAAGCAGGCCGTGGCCAATAGTCGGGGCAGGAAGTGAGGCAGAGGGAGCCGCCAAGCTGGGTGCCTGGGCGGGTGATGCCGCTGCTGGCCGGAGCGGACGGAAGACATTGTTACCGGTCTGGGCCACAAGGAAAATCCTTCTGTTGCACAACAGAGTCCTGCTGGAAGTGCAGGGGCTCTGAAGCCCGAGCTCGGAGAGGCATCAGCCAGAACCGCTGTGGGCTGGCACGAGTCACGTACCCACTCAGGAACATTCTACGCCTTCCACACTCAGTGGCCCCAGTCACGGGGTGAGCCAGACTTCCTTCCCTATTTTACACATGGGGACGCAGCGACTTCTGTGTCCCTACCCTGAGTCGCTCAGCTGGGACACAGCAGGGCCAGGGGTCAGCTTCTGGGTGGCAGTTCATGTCCTTGTCACCAGGTCCTTGCCACCCCAGAGGGCTGGCTCCTCCCCCTCTGAAAGGCATTGAACCTGAGGTCCTAGGAATCTTGTGCCACCAGCCAGGGCATCACCGGCTTTGATCTCTGGGCTGCTCCTTTGGGCTGCCGCTCCTCCGGGAGGGGACGGGAGGGCAACTGGCGCCCTTGGACTTGGAATGTCACCTTGGCATAAGAGCCACGGCAGCCAGGAGGGCTGCCAGGAGGGACCTTGTCTTGCTTCTCTTTTTGAACCCCTGACGGGGTCTAGCCTCATTCTGGCCATTCATAAGCTCCCAGAAAATGAAAGGGAAAGGAGAGAGGGGGGAGAGTCCTTCAAAACCGGAGTCTTTAACCGGCCTCCTTTTTCCGTTTCCTACCTGCCCCCACCCCCGACTTCCACCGGGTCCAGCCCACTGATGTTCCTCGTGCAGACTGAGCCCCTCTGCCCCAGCTTTCTTTGCTTAAATACAAGTAGAACTGCCGAACTTTTATTCAGTACCTGTTCTCTGCGGGCAATTTGTGTTTGTCGCCTCTTATTGTCGTCACCATAGGCCTTCAGAGTGGGCAGTTTCACCCCCATTTTACAGAAGGGTAAGCTGAGGCTCGGAGAGCATGATGACTGACCTGAGGAAGGTCAGCCTGGTGGCCAGTGAGTGGCAGAGCCCTGCGCCCCTGCCTCCGCTGAATGAGGTCACCTGGGCACAAGGCCACAGCAACAGCGAACAGGCTTTGAAATCTGCCCCCGGGAAGAGGAGGGGCAAGTGGCCTGGGGGCCGGGGGGTATGGTCTGGCAGATGTCACTGGATCTGGCTTGTGACTTCCCGTGAGCACAGTGGTGATGACGGGCCATGTCAGCGCCATCCGGTGAAGGGGAAGGAGGAGGGAGCTGTTAATTTGTCCCCTGGCCTCTCAATTCTCTTACTGATGGAGAAACAGCCTCTACTCGGCCTCAGCCGCAGTCAGATCCTTTGGAGAGGCTGTGGCTGAGGCCTGGGCTGTGTCAGTCAGAGGAAATACCTGGGGGCGGCCCTCGCCTCCTGCCCGGCCTCGTCCTCCGCCCGAGAGTCTCTCTGGCGCTGTGAGCAAAGCCAGCCCACACTCAGCCGACGTCCGAGGCACAGTCTGCTCCCTCCTCCGTCCTGCCTTCCATGCACTGTTCTTTGGCTCACCTGGTGTCCCCTGGGGCTGCCCTCTCCCCGCGGTGGCCTGTGTTCTTTTTGCCATTCTGGGTCCTTCTGTCGCTCAGGTGGGAATAGGATGCCCTCCCAGAGTATTCAGCATTTTCACAGGGGTTCTGGGTAGAGGACAGGGTTTAATCCACCGTGGTTGTTGACGAAGGTGGCACGGAGGCGGTGACATGCAGCTCAACATCCAGCCACCCCTCCACCTGTACCGATGGCCAAGCAGTCACACAGCACCCAAGCAGAAAAGAGGCCTTTCCTGGTACCTCCCAGGTGCCACCAGAGGGGAAACCAGGGGACACATTTCCCCTCTATCGGAGCAGCGTGGTGTGTGGGTGAAATCGCTGTAATGCCCACGACCCGAGCAGCTAGAGAATCACTAGAACCTGCCAGACTCAGGGCCCGGGCTGTGGTTCGGGCAGAAGACAGACATCTGCTCAGCAGAGCTTCCCCGAGGGCAGGCTGGCGGCGGGAGGGCTCAGCCCCAAGGACTTCAGACACCCCTTCTGAGCCCCAGAGCCGACGACGCCGGCGCTCTTCCCCCGCAGGTACTTCCACTGCCCGGCGGACAGCTCCGAGCTGGCCTACGACCCGCCGGTGGTCATGAACGCAGACACCCTGAGTTACTGTCAGAAGGAGGCCTGGTGTAAGCTGGCCTTCTACCTCCTCTCCTTCTTCTACTACCTGTACTGGTGAGTTTGCGCCCCTCTGGTAGGTCTGACTCCTGCGGGAAGTGGGCGGGGGGAGCAGCCTCAGGCCAGCCCCTGGTCTTCGGAAGGTGGCCTGTGACCTTATGGGATATGAAGCCAGCTGCATGACTCGGGTTGGGAGGGAGGGCTCCTGTGTGAAGCAGCCAGGGACAGAGGTCCTGCAGGAGGCCTTGCCTGCTGACCTGTGTGGGCATCCTTAGGGCTCTCGGCAGAACACATCCTATATGAGATACATCCTTGGGAAGGGGGGCCCACTGCCCACAGGGCGCAGCCTCCAGCAGCTGCTCAGTCGGCCTCACGGGTCCCCCATGGCCCCGAGGCCCAGCCTCCTCACCCCTTGCCCCTGCGCCTGCGTGGGAGCACTCGGGACCATCACAGAGACCCTAGGGGCAGCCATGCTTCACCAAGGGGTGTGTGCGTCATCAAATGCTTACACTTACACCTCTCCCGCTGTGACTCAACACCTCCCAATTAAGTGAAACACACCGACATTGCAAAGTCCCTTCAGGTATCCCCCCCACCCCCCTTTCACAGCCTTCACCCCGAACATCCTAGCTGAGCAGATGGCCACGGACAGACTGTCCTCTGGTTTCGTACTCCAGAGGGCGCCTTTTCTGGACACATCTCTTCCTTCCCCCTGTTCCGCTGAGGGGTCCTCTCTGAGGTGTCTCACCTGTCACCTTGCTGTCCTGTTGATACCTGCGGCAGAGCGTGATATCTTCAGGTGTCCCAGCACTGTCTCCACGATGGCCCGGCTGATAGCAGTGGATGGAGGGGGCCGGAGGCGGTGTTAGACCCCAGGGCCACCTCAGGGTTCAGGTTGGGCCAGAACAGGATGAGAAATGGCCCCGTCTGTCCAGCATTGGAAAACGAGCCAGGCTTTGGTCTCCAGGCTTTGGTCTCCAGGCCTTGCAAACACTGCGCAGTTTAGGAGCCAAATGCGATCATTGCCCACGTTAGCAACGAGGAGACGGAATCCGAGACAATTAGATCATTTTCCCAGGGACGGTTACCAGTGCCACAGCTGCGAGTCCAGCTCAACTCTGTCCCCAAAGACTGTGGCGCTCTGAACTGCCGCCTGCCTCTGGCAGGAAGGAAACCTCCGGGAAAGTCTCCATCCAGGTGTGGCCCCTGGAGTTTCCCGCATCACAGCCGGTGCGGGGTCGGGGGGTGGAGGGAATGCTTCTTAAAATGCAGATTCCCAGGCTTAGAGCTGCTGATCCTGAATGTGGCAGCTGGGCAGCTCACCTGAGGGTGGGACCCGCCGCCCGGGGCTGCTGCTTGGTCCTGCCTGCTCTGCCCTTCTCATCCTCTGTCCAGAAGATTCAGGGGCCGTGGGTGGTTTCCCCTGGAATAACCCGGCCTGGGAGGGGGGTCCATTATCCTACCAGAATCTTCTTGGAGTCAAGGCTTGGTCGAGGCTCAGGGTGGCCTCTTCTGTGCTCCTGGAGGGATGGGGTGTCCTGGAACATGGCCTGCTTCAACTTGCAAGGAGCCCGAGGGTCCCTGAAGCCTCTCCGGTGGTTTCTAAGGTGCCAGCAGGTCCCCCGAAGTCATCTGACCCCAGGTCTGACCGCTCTGGCCACTGGAGCCCGCTCTGCCTGGCTCCGGCTGGGAAACCTACAGAGAGTAGCCCCAGCCCTCCTGGCGACTCGACTCCTGGGTTGACGTGGAGGTTCGGTCTCTTCCGTTAAATGTGCTCCACCTCTCTCTTTGAGCCCTGCAGACTGTCCCCTGCCATAGAAGCGAAGACTGAGTGGCCTGTCCCCAGAGCCAGCCAAATAAGGACTTCCCCTAGCTCCTGCCCGTTAGCCTGGGGTCCGCCGTAGCCCAGGTGGGGACAAGGCCAGTCGAGCTCCCTCGTTTCAGTTTTGTTGCAGTGACTGCTGAGCCCGAGGCATTGTGAGGAAGGAGGCGAAGGAACTCGCAGGCAGAGCAGAGCCGCCGTGTACCGGGCTGTGGGCCGGGGCGGGGCCCTCGGAGGCGCTGGCTGTGAGTGTTCTGTGACTCACGGTGCTCCAGATGCCCCGCTGGACTGTCTGTCCCTCAGCTGCTTCATGAGACATTTGTTAATCACTTTGTATCCGAAAAGGAATTGGAAACAACTGCTCCCGGCCTCACCGGGCCCCTGGGTGGCTGCCAGGCTTCCTCTTCCTCCCGTGGGGGCTCCTCGAGGCTCCTCGAAGGCCTCGTTTCTCCTGCTGCAGGAGCTCCCAGCCCCTCAGATCCGGAGCTGGCGGAAAGCATGGGCCCGTCAGCCCGGGCCACTGTCTTCAAGAGGGAAGGGGACCCAAGGGTCCAGAGCTGTGTCGGAGCTGAGCAGAGGACAGAGACTCCAGTGACTGCAGCTGGAGCTCTGTCCGTGTGGGGCTGAGGCTCCTGAGGACCTCAGAGTGGTCGAGAAGCGTGTCCAGGGTCTCAGCTGGCAGCTCTTTGGCCCCGGAGCGTGGGCTCTTCCCGCCACACTGCCCCAACCATCCCACCCTGGGAGCCACCCCTCCTCAGGTTGCCCCGTGGACCAGGAGGGGTGTGCAGGCTACACAGGGTGGGGACTAGCAGTTGCTGATGCCAACAGCAATGCTAATGCTCATACTAACATACTTGCACTGACACCAGCTGCTTAGTCCAGTGTGGACTCTGCCCACTCAACAGAGAGACCTTTTCAGGTCGGGAGTCTGAGCAGGCTGACTCTATCTGTCCTGCCCAGTCATATGGTCTCCTTGATGGTCAAGACCGAGTCTGTTTTATTCACCTCTGTGTCTGCAGTGACTGGCTTATAGTAGTTGCTCACTAAACCCTTGGTATTGCCATGGGGTGGCTGTGTGCTCCCCTCAAGGTAAGAACAGGGGCTGCACCCTCACCATCGTCTCCCAGCACTGGGGGGAGGGAGCGGGGCAGGCGGGAGGTGCGCCATCCACAGGTGCTTAAATATGGGGCTTCAGCCACGCAGGAGAGCTCACTGGGGCTTTGTAGCCAGGCAGGGTTGCAAGTGAAACATTTCAGGTTTTTTCCTTTGGTTTTCTTTTCTGGATTATTTTTCTTTCGCTCTCCCACATGAAAAGGTGCCGTTTTCCTTTCTGCCAAATCAATAAAGTGCACATTTTGTACAAAACGTTCCTTGGTCTTGCAGAGTTCACCTGCTCTGATGTATTACTCAGCCGTCCGGGAGCTCGGGGCGGCCAGCGCGATAAAGACGCCACTGCAGCCGCCCTGCTCCCACCCCCGGCCCTGCCTGCACTGGGGAGAGCGGACTGACACCCGTAATAATCAGCCTGATGAGAGTAATGACAGCCACTCGGGGTGTCACATCGTTTATCTAAGACACAATAGGCTCTTCTAACAAACATTCAGTCCAACGGGATGCTCTAGGGACAGGTGGGACGAGGGGCCGGCTTCCGGCCGGTGCCTCTCTTGAGGGTCAGTCTGAGTCCTCGGCAGCCCCCACTAATGCCTTCTCTCCCCCTCCTTTCTGCATTCAGCATGATCTACACTTTAGTGAGCTCTTAAAGACCACACACGTCATCAGAGACCGGGACGGGAGAGCGCTGAGGCTGAGAAGTCATATCTGCTGGCGATTGGAGAAGGGACCCCAGTGGGCATGTGTGAGAAGGAGACCCGGCCAACACTGAATGACCCGGGACTGGGTCAGGCAGCCGCCAGGCGGCCGCGCCAACCATGTACCCTGTCTTCAGCGCTCACGCCACACTCGGATGGTGGCCCCCTTCTGAGCAGTGGGGGCCTCCTGAGCAAGAATTTCTGCTTCCTGGATCCACTTCATCAAACAACCCCCTGCAAGTTCACTCTGGTTTCCTGGGTCCTGGGTGTGGGGGCTGGAAGTCTGGGAGGTGCCTGCTGAGGAACGGAGAGACCCACTGCCGGCCTCCCGGACGCTGTGGGCCGCCCCGGGCTCTGGCGTTGCTTCCGAGCCATGGCCATGCCCTTCACCTCGGGGGAGGGCCTGGGGGGCAGGCTGCTGCCTTCTGCTGTGCGGCCTTGAGCTTGAGGGGTGACCATGCTCGAGCCCTGGTTTGTGAGAACCCAGCTCAGCACCGTCTGCAGCTGGTCATGAATGACACCCAAAGTCGCAGACGTGGGGCTGGGAGGGAGGAATACGAGAAAGAAAAAGATTTTTAAAGCATTTCCTACATGTTCAAGGTGATACCACCCAAAGCCATCACGGGTCACAGAATGAGCACTGCTGTCACCACCAGTCAAAGCAGCCATCTTTCAAGGACCCCCCCCACCCCAGCTCTGAGGCCAGGAAGTGCTGGGGCAGCTGCCCAGAGCCGGGCGGGGCCCAAAGAGGCAACAGTTCCAGCTTTTTTTCATGATGCTGCATCATCCGTACTGTTCGGTTCAATAGGAGGATGTTCCCTTAGAATTCGCCCCATGAGGTTCTCTCCACTTTGAGCAGGGGTTGTGCTAGGAGGTTGTAAATGCCGAAAAGGCGGAGCGTTTTATGATGCTGAGGCTGGGCAGTGATCGTTGACTTCCCTCCCCCAAAATCCCTTTATTCTTCTGTTGGGCGCACACAGGCTGTTTGTACCCAGCTCCCACCCAAGCCCCGTGACTTGGGCTTCTCAATGGTGTTTGTGTAGCGCGCAGTGTGCTGTGTTGAAAGCGCAGCGGCAGGCGGGTGTCTCGCCTACCTGGCTGTTTCATGCAAACCGCACTACTGGCTGGATTCATCTCCATGTGGTCGGTAAGCTGGTAGGTAGAAAAAGCAAAGTTTCAAAAAGGCGTTTTGCTTCTAAATATTCTACAGAAAACAAAATGCAGACGAGCGCTCTGAGGCTAAAGGTAGAAAACCAGAGCATTCGAGGGGGCGGTCCCTGGGAGCAGGCTTCCCCTTGGCCACGCCCCGGGGTCCTGGCTGGGTGGGCGTGGTTGGGACAGGGCATTACCTTTAGGGCTGGTTGACCCCGTCTGTGACGCCACTCCAGGGAGGGGCCGATGCCTTCATCCAGAGAAATGACCCTGGTGTCCAGGCAGCTCACGGCGAATTTGACCCTGTGGCCACCGGACACAGTTGAATGGGAGGGGGACGCGGCCCAGGTCCCTCCTCACCACGGAGCTGTTTTGTTTGTTTCCATACTGGGTTGGCCAAAGAGTTCGTTTGTTTTTTTTCTATAAGGTGGCTCCAGTAACCCTTAGTTGACTTTAACTTCATTCAAAACAAGTGTTCTGTTAGATTGCATTGTGGCAGCTGTCATATCAGTGTGCATTAAAAAAAAACAGCAAAATTGGTGAATTTTTGTGCAACCATTTTAATATTGAAGATGGAAGAAAATATGCAACATTTTCGGTATATTATGCTTTATTATTTCAAGGAAGATAAAAACACAACTGAAACGCAAAAAAAAAAAAAAAGGGATTTGAAAAGAATCTGTCCATTGTATGGAGAAGGTGCCGTGACTGATCAAATGTGTCAGAAGTGGTTTGTGCAGTTTCGTGCTGGAGATTTCTCACTGGACGATAGTCCACAGTCAAGTAGACCAGCTGAAGTTGGTAACGATCAAATTGAGACATTAATTGAGAACAATAAGCACTATACCATGTGGGAGATAGACAACACACTCAAAATATTCAAATCAATAAAGTTATGGTGAAAATGAAAAATGTGCCTCTTATTTTATGTAAAAAAAAAAAAAACACACGTACTTTTTGGCCAACCCAATACTTTGCCTCCTTTCTGAGAGATTTGAAGTAGCTTATAATGGCAGACACCACACAAAGACCGTTAAAATGGCAATGGAAATTCAAACTTATAAAGAAGGAGGACACAGAGCCACCAGCTTCCTGAGATGCTCTGTTTATTGTGGTTGAGCATTAAGTTAGATATTTCTCTTAACAGTGAATAATAGCGACCCGAAGTTATACAGTGCTTAACATTGCTTTCGCACCTTCTCATTGGACCCTCCTCACAATACTATTAAGTTGATACTATTTCATTTCTCATTTTCTAAGTGAGTCAGTTGAAGCTCAGAGAGGGTGAGTGACTTACCTGTAGTCATACAGCAGTCACAGAGCTGCCTTTGAAGTCGGGTCCTATGACTTTGAAAACCCCAGGCCCTTTTCATCACTCCTGAAAGCTGGCAAACTAGCTCGGGGTCCTATAAAGTTTTGATTAGTACCATTAACTTTTTGAGAAAAGGTTTTTAAAGTAGAGCTAGAGCAGAAGGGCCTGGCTTGCTTTCCCTTCATACGCCGCCCTCAGACTTGCTTTGTTTGTAGGAGGTTCTTTTGTACGGTGGTCCTTTGAAAGTGGCAAGCGCCTCTCAGGCGGTCCTTACGTTTCTGAAAGAGAAACATCAAATGTTTCCCTCCTACAAGTTGTGCTGGGGAAAAAAATAACCCAAGTATTTCATTGGATGTGTGAGCCAATTTCCAGTTCCTAGAGGAGCTAATCATGATAATAGAGAGTAAGAGTAACAGGTGCAGTGCCCTGGCCCGGTGGCTCAGTTGGTTGGAGCATCATCCCATGCCTCAAGAAGTTGCAGGTTTGATTCCCAATCAGGGCCTGTGCCTGGGTTGTGGGTTCGATTCCCGGTCAGGGCATGTGAGGGAGGGAACTGATAGATATTTCTCACATCTCTCTCTCTGTAAAATCGATCGGCGTATCCCCGGGTGAGGATTTAGAAGGAGTAAAGGGCACAGTGGTGGGACCCATGTGCTGTACTGGGTGCTGGGCTACCCCTTATACCATGATCTCACCGAGTCCTCACAACGAGCCCACAAAACAGGACAGTCTCACCCCCATTTCACAGATGAGAAAACCGGGGAGGCTCAGGGCAGGTGCATCTGCTCTCGGCAACCCAGCCAGACGTAAGCTCAGGGTGGCGAGTCAGTGGCCAATTCTAACGGAAGCCATAAATTGAGGTGTTGGGCATTATGCTATACACCTCACGTGTTTTTGTCTGACCCTCCTACCAAGACCACAAGGTCAGTCCTGTCTCTTTCCTGGAGGAGGAAACTCTGCGAAGGTGAGTGAGTCCTGTGCCTATGCCATGGCTAGTCAGGGGTGAGATTCACACCCAGGGCCGCCGCCGCCCTCATCATTTCATCCGCTCGGAGATTGCGTCTCTCGCTGCTTATTGCACAGATGCGTCCAAGGGGAGGAAGGCGGGTGAGGCAGGTGCCATGGCTCCGCAGATGCATCACACAGGGGAGGGCACCCTTGGGTGATGGAGGCTCTCCCTGCCAAGTTTGAGTCTGGGTGTCAAGGAGAGGGTTTCTCAGGGCCCAAAGGCCTGGGGTTGGTGATCTGGCTCCTTTCCCTTGGGGAGGCAGCGTGTAGGCCTGGTGTGCTTGTGCCCGAACAGTCACAGCAGGATGTGGGGGACCTCGCCGAAGCTTTCTTCTCACCTGGCCCAGTGCAGTGAGCAACGGCACCCCTGCCCTGCTGTTAGAGAGATGAGAGGACATCGTGTTTGCAAAGAGCTCGGAAGAGGGCCCTGCCCACTGTGAGTTCTACCTCACTCCTTGGAGGGGCGAGTTGTCCTCGCCACCCTCATGGCGTCCTGTGCCCATCCAGGGCAAGGTCCCCCAAAGGGAGGGACATCACTGGGCCATGCGGGGAAGCAGGGGATGGTCCCTGGACCCAGCTGCCTTCCTGATGCCTTGTTCCCTGAGTGGAGGCCAGGCTAGGACCCGAGACCTTTCAACGCCACGCTCTTTAGCCTGAAATGCTGACCACTGCTGTCGGATTTAGCCGTGTGCTGGACACTGAGCGCATCTTACAACATTCGTGTTCTCCAGTGCCCACAACATCACTATGAAATAGGAACTATGAGTGCCTCCGACTTACAGTGGAAATCCTAAAGCTTACAGAGGGTAGGTAAACAAACGAGTCGAGGTCACAGTTACTAGTGAGTAACTCGTAACTCTGGGCCTCGACCCCATGTGTGTTCCTGAAAGGGTGGGACGGTGAAGGGAGGTGAGCAAGGGGCTCCAAGGGGAGAAAGCAGCAGGCACAGGGCCCTCCCAGAAGCTGGCCCTGCTCCCCTCTTGCATTTCACAGTGAGCACCTCCGCGAGAGCTTGTAACCACAAGGGTTTGCACTGTGAGGTCTCGTTCGTACAAGCCCCTTCGCCTCACTGAGACTCAGCTTTCCCAGCTTGGAGACAGGGTGGTGATGTCTGCCCATTGAGTGTGGTTGTGATGAAGTGACCAGTCAGGGCCAATCAACGACTCTCAGTCCCCAGTGCCCCGCTGCATTCCCCCTCAGAACGCAGAGTGAAAGTGAGGGCTGTAGCGAAGAAAACGGTGAAGCGCTTCTCGTAGTAACACATGGCAACGTTCAATGAATCTTAGCTTCTTTCCTTTCAACCCTGGAGGCAGACCAGACAGGAGGCACCGGTAATGGAGCTCAGCCTTCCTGAGAAAAATCTCCCCTTGACTTCCTATTTTTAGGCTTAGTAATTGCACCAACGCTGAATAAAGTTGTCACCGCTACGACAGTTCTGTTCTCCTACAGAAGAGATGAACGCAGCCAGCGGTGTGCTTTGACAACAAATAATTGCACTCACGCTGTGTCATTGTGCAGATCCATTGCATAACGCTTTCTGGGGCTTGGGCCGCCGCACTGCCAAATGCGCTCAGGTGCATGAAATCTAGATCTCAGGGCCGCCTCTCCCCGCCAGACACCTGGGGTGGCCTCTGCTCCCAAGGCTCAGGCAGAAAGCGCCACCACTGTGGGTGTCTGCAGGGGGATCTTCAGGACACAACCCGGCATTCCTAGGGAAGGATGGGGACGTGTCTTAGCTTTGTGCTGGTTAGGAGCAGGGGGGCAGAGTTCCCCTGTTTGCTGGAGCCCTGCCTGCGATGGAAGTACAGTTCTACCTTGGTCCTTGAGGGCTTCAGAACTCATCAAACCCTATACTCGTCACATTTTGACAAGAAAGGAATGTTTCAGCACTCGGCGCTTGCTCGGGACTTGTCACACTTGCTAGAACTGGCATGTCACCACGCCGTCCCACGAGAGAAAATGCTTCATCACCCATCACTTAAAGAATTCGTTTGGTATTCATCAGTCTTGTCAATCGTCACCAGTTCTGAACGAATGAACGACAATTGCCGCAGTCCCACTATATTTGTGGCGGAGAAGGATCTTTGTACTCACACCTCGGATTGCAGTGTCGTTGCTTCGCAGGTGATCCTGTGACAGAAGCAGGATCGACACAGTCACAAAAGAGTCTCTTCCAGGCTCCTGGTAACTTCTGCCCCGAGAGCTCTAGATGCCCCAAGAGTATCTTCCTGTTCTGTGACCTTCACCTTGAGGACACCATGCGATGCCCATATCTTCTTCCTGCCCAGCTCATAGTGCACTAGAACTTTCCCCTACAGGCTCGTGAGAGCCAATTGTTAAAATTTTTAAGGGATTTTGCTGAACACTTAAATGCAGCCATTATTAAAACTGGTTATGTAAGCTTACAAGTAAATAAATTATGTTAAAAACAAAGGTAGTGTACAATCAAAATGTATCACCTCCTAATTATTTTGCTGCCCTTTACTGTCATCATCTGTGTCCTTGAACTTACGTCTATTGTGTCTATGGTGGAAATAGTATCTAACCGCCTGCTACTGTGCATCTCCCTCATCTTTGTGTTCTGTGATGTCTCATTAGTAGCTTGAAACCGGCTACAGTGGGAGTATTTACACCACAGAAATTGGCAGGTGCTACAGATGAGTTCCCTCCTTCCCCCTCACCGCCCCCATCCCTCTCCAGTGCTGGTTGTTAACTGTTTACTAGTCCTGGAGGTTCCCATTTGCTGGTCTGTGCTGTTCTGACCTCTGGCACAAGGCTGGCCACACTGCAGGAGCCAGTGACCCGCATGGCACCTGGCAGCCTGTACCTCTGAGGGCTTGGGTACCAGACCCTAAACTTCAAGGCCCCAAAGGTGCTGCTGTCTTCATGGCTAGACCTGGCCCCAGCCCACAGCAGCAACACTGTGGTGCAGCCACTTAGGGGCTTGTTGTCCATTGGAGATGACAGCCAAGTAGCCTCTTAGGTTTTATGCACCATAGGTCACGAGGGCATGAGTGCGGACATAATATAAGTGAAACATACTCTGCTGAGCATGAAATGCATTTACACAGTGACCCTCGCCCTGCTGCCCCAAATTAACTTGGGAACTGTCACTCTTCCTGTAGGATGGGTCCCTTCCCAGGAGGCTTCCAAGGTCCTCCAGTGGCTGGGTCGATGCTTCTTGTCTGAAAGCTGGGGTGAGCCCACTTGATAAGGGGGACTTTAGTGACGTGTGAGATGATGTCTGTGAAGTGCCTAGTGCTGTGCTTTGCACACAATGTAAGCTCAGTAACTGTTCTCCTTCCTCTACTCGTCCTTTCTCTGCTTGGCTTTGCCGTTCACAACACGGGTGTGCCCTTCCCTGCCAGCCTGTGGCTGCTGTTCCTCTGTACACACTCTCTCCTCCCTGCGCCTCCGAGAACCTCAGGGGCAGGCACACATCTCGGTCTGGAGTCACAATGGCTGGAGGAAGCTGTTTTGTTTCCTGCAGTGTGGCTGCCTGCCTATCAGGGCAGAGAGACTGAAATACCATGGCAAGCTGTCCGTTCAAACGCCAGAACGGGCTCTGAGCAGTAAACCCTGGCCTGTTCAGACATGTTTGGTCCATCAGAAAAACATCACCTTCCTGGTAGGAATATATTTCTGATATTTCAGGGCAGGGAAACAGGGAACATGAGAAGCTGGTTAAATACCAGGCTCCGCATTAAACTATCATGCAACACCTCAGTCAGGACCCCGTGCCTGGGAGCATCTGGCTTGATTGTGGTGGTGAGGACCCCTGGGCAGTGCTTGTGGCTCTGGGGAAGATCCCGTTGGTTGGCGGCCTCACCAGACTGGCCTTGTGATGTTCTTATTTTCCCACAGCTAGCCTAAGAGTGAAGTTGATGTCCAGGTAACTTTGTAGACCATGCCAGGGACAGAGAGGGCTCTCAGGGACACGGAGACCATTGCATGATAAATGGCCCAGCAGACAGCCCAGCTTTCTGAGGGGCAGCTCAGAACCCTGCACCCTGGGTGACCGGTCTGTGAAAGTAGCGGTTCTTGGTGCATTATTAATATCTTATGATTGACTGGATTAAAACAGCCCTGCCTCAAGACCTAGCCCTGCCTGGCACAGCCACGTCTGGGCGAAAATGAGAAGATGAGGCACGTGCCACGGAGGCAGGTCTGGTTTAGTAGGAAACCCCCGTCATCGGCCTCTGCCTCACGGTTGGGGGGACCCGGCCCAGCCAGGCCCCAGTGTTCAGTGCCAGTGGGTGACGACACTTTCTAAACAGAGGGAAGCCAAGAATGTGGCTCACGGATCAGCACTGGCCTGGACGGTGGGAGACCATTCCGAACTGGGCGCCGTGGAGCTCTGCGGTGAGCCCTGTCCTGTGCAACATTTGTCGTCAGGGAGTTGGATGAAAGCAACGGATCATTTCTGGGGTGATACAAAGCTGAAAAGGATTAAATCAGGGCAGAAACAGGAGATTTAAAAAGTATCTTACAAACTCGGACTCACCAAAGGATGAAGCAGGCCTAAATGGAAGGCGTAGAGGTTGTCCAAAGAGTCAGCGGCCTGTGTGGGTGACCCTCGCCCCAGCCCCCACCCCCAGTGAAAGCCAAAGTCACCGTCTCCTCTTCACTCTCCAAAGCCGTCTCAGGACTTGGGAGACCCAGGCTCCTTCCATCCTGTAGCTCCTCCTATTCAAAGTCTTCAGGACTCTCCCCATTCATTCGACGGATGGGAAAAGAGCCGATCACGTGACTGGCACGCATGCCTTCTCACCTCCCTCTGCTCAGGTCTCATTGGTACATCCACGCCCACCCAACCCCACAAGACGCTGGGGCACGGAGTCTCGCAGTCTTGGGCGGGCGTTTGGTGAATGTGAAGCGGTCCCCATCACAGATTGATGTCTCTGAATGCCAACTGGTCACTGAGGTGACGAATGTCAAAGGTAGTAGGATAGAGGGAGGGGGCTGAGGAGAATGTGCTGGGCTACAGGTACTCATTTGTAAATCGCCTTCTGGACAATGGATGGAGAAAAGGAGAGAAAAGGAAAAAGAAAACTCCATTCATCATTTTGTTTTGGTTTGATTTTTATCACTGAGGCTTGCCCTTCAGAACCTTACTGGCAGTAAGGGGGTGTGTGTTGGGGGGCGGGCTGAAACTGAGTGGGAAGATGAGGACTACTCCTCCTTTTGAATTAGAGTCAGCAGCGTGCACACACACACACACACCAACACACACCCCTCCTGCCCTTCTAAGCCTCCAACGAGAGGGGAAAGGAAGTATCAGACTAATTGGAGAGCAGCGAGGGAGTGACAGCGTCGGTAAAGGAGGGGAAGTCAGGCTATTTCAGTCCTCCTGTAAGCCAGCATTGTCTCCTGGCTAATTCCACTTTAAATGAAGTTGAAAGGTCATCTGATAGGTTTCATTATCTCTGCAAATAATTCATCAATTCCGATGAACTCAGAACCATGATATTGCCTGTAGGAGGGACCCAAGGTCTGACAAGGTGAGAATTATCAGCACGGTACCGGGGCTGGCAGCTGGCATTGGGATGGTCCCCTTTTCATTGAAGTTCTCTGTGGCTAAAGAGACGGCTAAACTGAGCCCATCCGCAGCAGCCGGCAGACCAGGGCGGACCCACAGAGCTGCGCCTGGATGTGTGTGCGGCTGAGAACTTCACAAGTGCAGGACTCACATCTCCCCGATGACAAGAGCAGTTCGGGTAGACAGGAAAGGCATGTTCAGTCCCAGAATTCCACTCTGCAGGAGGAGAATCAGGGTACATGTACCAGCACAAGAGCGCTCAGTCATCATCGCTGCTGCTTTGCTCAGGCTGGAGAGGCATCGCTCCCGAGCTGGTCACATCTGTTCTCCAAGGCCCTGTCCCACTCCGCCACCCCCAGATGGACGGCACAAAGTGAAGACGGGACATACACGTTTGTCAGGGGACCCGAAGGAGACGTGTCTCTTATAAGCAGTCAAGCATTCCTTCGTGGTGAGTACACTTGAGCAGGTGGACTGCCTTCTTCAACCCTGAAACAGGTATACACTTAGGACTTAAACTCATAAATTTCAGGATGACTGTAACAGTAAATGGGTAGCGTGCATATGATTAACACGTGCAAGCTAATTCACCTGTTTATTCATTTGTATAGAATGTATTCACTCTTTCATTCATTTGTACCATCAAAGTTTATAGGATCTCTGCCATGCACCACACTGAGTGTACAAAGATGAATAGGACGAACCTGCTACTCTCAACCCTCAAGGAGCACGCACCTGTCTATTTCTCTAGCTCTGTTTCCATTCGCCCATCCATGTGCCCTTCCCTCCCTCCCTCCATCCATCCCTCCCACAAATCTATGTATGCAGCTATCCCATTTTTCCTTCCTTCCTTCCTTCCTTCCTTCCTTCCTTCCTTCCTTCCTTCCTTCCTTCCTTCCATCCATCCATCCATCCATCCATTGCTCACCGGGGACCTCAGTGGCCCTCAGAGATTCAACTGAGCCTCAACCCCCCGCAATATTATAGCTCTTTGAAACTCTAAAACTCCTCTGTGTGCCTATGTTTACCCCCCTCCTTTCTGCCCTTTATGAGCTGTTGGACGGTCCTTATTCTAGAACATCAGTATGGACACAAAGTGCTGTCCTGTCACTGGCTTTATGTCTTCAATTCACATGCCTCATTTACTTTGTGCATTTAGTGATTTGGCATAAGACGGGGAACAATAAAGGAGAGAGGCACGTCAAGGAGCCTTTGACCTTCATCTCTTTCCTCTCCCCTTTCTCTCACTCTTCTTGTGTTTCTTCTAAAGATGCACAAATAAACAAGACTTCCAACCCTCCCCAACACACTCATGCACACACACAACACAGTCTTATTCTAGGTAAGTCATGGCTTAGAGGCTCAACTTTTCTGCACCTCAGTTGGTGACCAGTTTTCTGAATAAACCTTCCCGAAGGGTGTTCTAGAAAGAAAAATGATCCCCTTACTACTACATATTAATTATCTATGTATCTTCTATCTTAAAACCCCAGTCTTAAGGCATGACACAGGTAGATGACCGTGTGATGGGAAATGATTGACAGGCAGGTACATAGGTAGGTAGTATACCTTAAAATGAGGGTGAGCTGCTATACAGCTCAGAAAAAGAAAAGTTAGAAACTTCCGCAATTATAGTTCTGCTTGCATTTTCTAGTTCTTGCACTAATGTTTTCAAAGTGTCTTGGCCTGAGATCCTGCCCACAAGGCACAAAAATGCATTCGATCGAGTTGAAGCAAAGGGCCATGTATTCGTTATCTATTTCTCTGTAACAAATCCCCCCAGAGCTCAAGCGTTCATCACTGCACAGCTTCTTCTGGCTCAGGGTGTCTCCCGAGGTTGCTGCCCAGTTCTTGGCCGGGCCTGTGGTCC